GTTCTCTATTGGTGGTTTTCTATAAAAGCTGGGGAAAACACACTTGTTTAATTTTGCCCTGTCGTCTAAAGTCTGACAATAAACAATTAAAATCTCAGAAAGTCACCTTTTTCAAAAGTAAAAGCTGGGAGGAAACTGCAAAAGCGTATTTTCCTCTCGCAAGGCTACTCTACTTTTTGTCATTTTTCTTCTTCTCGTTGACTCGTAATGGTGATTTTAAGCTTTCTCGTTTTAAGATATCAATGAAAAAAATTAGTTCTTAATCGTGTAAATTTATGAAGTCTTAATTCATATCGAAAACATTACCTTTGGCAGAAAACTCAACAGAAAACTTCAGTTTTCTTCTACATGTTATACTTTAAAATGAAAGCTGTGTGTATGTGTATATTGAATCAACAATGAGAAGGGTAATAAAGCATAATTTATCTAATCAAAGATCTGTCACTGAAGTATTCTTCTTCAAAAACGGTTGTGCAAAAGCTACTTGCAGAAATTTGACTAAAACCTAATCAAACGACGTTTTCCTTTTTGAAAAGTTTTGCAAACACAAAACTTTACTATTGCCTTATTTTATTTTTTCTAACTTTTTGTGTTTACCACTTTTACTGTTCAATCAATCTAAAAATTTGTCTCCGTTGTTCTTATGCACCAATTATGCTAGTTATATGACGCTTTGCCCTAAAGATAATTCGCAATTCTATTACGTAATTCAAGTAGCAAGTAATGCCATATGAGTGACGAAGTTTACTTGGGGAACTCTTAGTACAATGAAAGATTTAGTGCTTAAAAATATTGCAGTTTGTAATGTTCACTTGGAACGCTTCTTCTTTGTTCAAATTTCCATTCACCTTTCTTGTGCAAAGTTTCCAGTTTCACTGTATACGTCTATCAGGAATTCAGAAACATATATACAAATTCTGCTGAGCTTTTATCTAAAAGCTCCTGATTTACATTGAATGCACTGTCCTAAGACGAATGAGCATATCTCAGAAGTAAAAAGTAAAGCTGGGACTTGCAAAAGTCGCAGTAAGGAAATACACAACTTTTCTGAAGACAAATAAAAATCTGCTAGATACATGAAAAAAAAAATTAATGCTCAAAAATGCAGCTCTTCTTAACCTACTAAATGCCTCTAACAAGAAGTTAGGAAATTTACACGAACTTTTGCCAACAGACTTACAGTAAAAAATGTAGGTTTTAGTACCGTTTACCTAAACATCCATACTTTGGACTCCAAGCTAAGGTGATTTCTATAATTCATTTGCAGAGGAATTTTTGTGGAAGAGAAAGGCGTGAACAGAATAGTCAAATCAGCAATATGCTTTCTGATCAGTAGAACTCAGTGGAAATAAGCTTAACCTCTAACAGAAATGGAAAAGGCAAAAAAACCTCTCACGTCTGCTAAAAGTTTAGAGTTGAAATTGACAGGACTAACTCACCAGTACCTTATTTAGATGTAATAAGAATAGCCAGGCTTTAGACAACTTTCTTTCACACTTTACAATAACTTTTGCGTCATTATTAAACTTGTCCCACAAGGGCAAAGGAATTATTTTCTTAAAGTCTCTCACTCTGGTTTAACTAGTTGTGGACCAAAGTTCAGTTACATTCCCTTTCGTGTGCCACCAATTCGACTTCTCAATTTCGCTGCTCTCTGTTTTTCAGCAAAAAACTATTGACAGCTCCTTCCTGCTCTCTGCTGTACTAAATAAATGAAAATCTGAACAAAATTTAAAATCTTTAGAGCCACCTTCCTAGATTTCTAGAACTCCTGAATTATGAAGACATAAGTCGTTAAAGGTATTGTATCCCTAACTGTGGAACAGACAATTTTCGATATTTTGCAAAATACAGAATAATAAAACGAACGTTTCTTTTGCCTTCGCAGTTTTAATTGCTTTTACGCCATTTCATTGGTGTCATCCCCGCAACAATGTCTGAAACAATTAGACAGACAAGCTAAACTGCGACAGGAAGTTAGTCAACCCACTGGTGTTGTGACGAGTAAGTTTTGTCTCTGTTTCTTGCTATATTATCACATAAAATCAAATAATAGACAGTTTCGAAAGGCCACCTACATCAAAAAGAAAGGTTTTCAATTGTCACTCACAAAGTACAGAGGTCAAACCCGATTTTCTTCACTAAAAAAATTTTTCTTCTTTAAAAAAATTTCTTCTTTATAAATCAAAAAAAAAAATTGGTTTTAGACTATGAAACTACTTCTACTAAATGAACTCATAATTGATGGTATTCAATAAAGTAAAATTACAGAATGAATTAGCAGTGTTGGATATCTGTTTGATTTCCCTAATTTAAAGAATCAAAGTTCACTTTCTGAAAGCATTCTATTAAATTTCATCTTAAAATTAAAAACTGATTTTTGTAATAAAAAAAAAAAAATAAAAAATTGAAAAAGCCACTTTTTGCCATTGTACTGTCTATGAAAATCCGTACACACATAATTTTTATTACAAGTGACCACCTTATACAAAAAAATGAAAATCTACATTCACGTACTTTTCACCTAACACGCTAGTTCTCGAATTCTATCTCAAAAACAAATTCACTTATTTTTCTATATTACAATATTCACACCGATCAGACTGTTTGTTTATTCTGAAGAGCAGTGGCACCTCTGCCTAATTCTTCTTCGCCCAGTTATACCAGAAATGCCACTAATGACGTCAGAGGAAACTAGCTAGAGTTCATGCAGTAAAATTAACTTCCAAATTTCACCATTTTTATTACTACACAGCCAAAACAACTTATAAAACTTCATCCCTCCAACAGATAAACCACTGTTTAAAAAACGAAAGGTGTTGAAGCAGAGCAGGCCTTGAAGTTCAAACAGCACTTAATAACCGTCCAACAGCCGTTCAATTGTAATTTAATCTCTACGCTAACAATAAAAACAATCGAATGTTCGAAAGCACAGCAACTTGGACCTCAGAATTACTCTAGATAGCTTGAAAATGACCATTAAAAAACCCAACGTTTTTGCACTTCCCCTTTTTCCATTATCTTTTCAATTACTTACTGAACGAGATTTTTGGTCCCACCATTATTTACGGTAACATCAATGAAACCCCAGCAGTTGTAAAACCTTCATTGTTTAACAAATAGTTGCTTTTTTCTATGCGTTTTGCACCACATCATCACGTGAACCTCTCCTGACCAAAGTCATTTTGTTCTCGTCAGAGTATCACTTGAACCACCTTGTTTGGAAATTATATTTAACTGTCGGTTACCATAACCGTTTCCTGCCACTACTGCTTCTCGTTTTATCTACCAAATAAACGACAAAAACATGCACCAATAAATCTACAAATCATTAAACTTCGACTAAAACGGTTTAATCACTGTTCTGATCTTACAACAGGCCACAACCGCCCTAGCAACGTTGAGAAGTGCTTTTTACCAGCACTAAAAAAAATTTCATGACACAATTTCCTGCACACCGATAACAACTTCTTTTGAAGCCAAAGAAAGAATGGCTTAAAATCGTCATCAGATGCCGTTTATGAATGATATATTGCAAAAGAGCCACACAAATCAACGCAACTTTATTCAGTATAAAACGAAAATTAGTAGAAGTTTAGCCTCAATATTAAAACTCGTAAAAAGTTATTGTTTCATCCACCAGATATATTTGTTCATTTAAGAAAAAAGGTACTGCATCCATAAATGCGAAGAAAAAATATGAATTAAAAGTTTTTCCCTACTAAACGTTTGAAATTTAAATGGAAAAATAGGAAACTGTGAAAACACAAGCTAATGAAACTTTAAAAGAAACTAGACGTGTACAAACCCAAAGCTGGGAAGTACTTTAAAAACTTTGAACTAGAAAAATACAACGAAAACTACACAGTGCAACAAAAAAGGAAAAAGGAATTATATACAAGACCATGCTTTCCAGTATTTTGTTTAGGAAATTTACCATGTACAATAAAACTACCAAACTACAACATTTCTCCACTCCCACATCCATCCTTCTAACAAAAGCGGCATGAATTATAGAATGCGCATGAGATTTCTTACACGGCTGCAACCGACGTAGCATGCTCAACAAGAAACTGACTACATCCTCAAATCACTTCCTGCAAGATCGTCCCGAAAGTACACCCTGCATCAACTTTAGGTGCTAGACTTCACAAAGAAAACATTTTCATAAACCACCTGCCTGCCACTATTACCTACCTATAACATCTTGCCAAATTAAAATCCTTCCCTGAATTTTAGTCGCACAAAAAACCTTGGTTTCACAGACCAGTGCCGTTCTGGTGCAACTATGGCGTCCTCAACTCACAAGTAAATTCTACCACCAAAGCGCTAAAGAAACACCAAAAAATGTTAGTCAAACAAATTAACTGGATCACGAGAAAGTTCATACGGAATCTGCAGAATTTTTTCACCGCCAAACTGGCCACAACGTAGTTTCAAAGTGAATGCTCAACAAGACTGCAACGGCTCACGAGCCATCCTAATCATACCTCATTGAAATCTGAGTAAAACTCTTTTTCAGTAAATTACACAATAAAGCGTTTGAATGTAAGCCGTCCCAGTCAAAAAAAATCGCCTCAAGCAAGAAACTTTTCACATCCAAGTCTAAATTCTCAAAAGATAGATTATACTGAAAAAAAAAGGAAAAGTGACGAAATAATATTTGCTACAACTCGTTTTCATTAAAGCACGTGGTGCCTATCTTTTCAATTCACTGCTCTTCCAAACTGTGAAACTGCAGTTGATTTCAAAGCTTCGATAATTCCTGTTTACTGAGCAGTACTACCCTTAAAGACCACTCCACGACACTACACAAATAGTAGACTACTGGTTCGATCTCAGTGGTTAAATCCGCCTTTGTAAGTTTTACATCATCCAGAATTCTCTCCCTTAGTCAGGACAGTGGTCCAAACAGCTATGATAATAAAGTCAGTTCCTTTAGTACCCGGACCTTCTAAAAATTTAAGCGACGAGCAACAACACGCAAGCCAATCCTAAACTCAAATACTAAACAATTCAAACAAATAAAATAGAACCGGCCCAACTTTATAGAAGTTTCTGGACATTATCCACTTCATATTACTTCGAAACCCCAAAAACCTCAAAAAAATTTTGTTAATACTTGAAATCACGAAGTGCAAGGAACTTTCGAAGCGACCTACTACAGAAGCAATACTTATATTAACTATATACAACCTGATTTAGGTAACTTAAAAGTCAGTATAGAGAAAGTAAGAAAACAACAAAGAAGTGGCAACATCGAATCTATGTACATAACCATGAGTATCAAATCATTAAAAGTATACAATCGGTAAGTAAACGAACAAAATTAAACCGAGGTAACGCTTGTAGAAAAACTAAAACCCAAATGCTGGCATACTTGTATAAACTACATACAGAAACCCATCTTGATCGGCTTCCATTTGATAAAGCTGTAGCAGCGTCATGCTATTTGAAACCATTGATTTTTCATTGACTAACAAAAAAAACGCCTGCTCCGGATGAAGTTGCAGCTTCCTGAAACCAGATACTTGAATAATATCACTTTACACGTTCATACGGATCCCTATTAGAAATAAACACAGCTCAATCAGAAAGCTATTCAGCTCTCTGTTAATCATAACAAAGTTGCTGCCCTCTTAGATTTGAGAATTTTATCAAATTTTCTAATTCCAAGAGAAGGCGTCAGTAGTGCAATGTACGGACAACAAACAAAGTGAAAGTAGAGGTCTAAACCCGTCCACACAACAAATTGCAAAAGTGGAAACATCAACTGCAAGCAACCCTAGTTTCCTAGCACAAATTGCACAAACTTGTGGGGAATTTTTGTCCTCTAATATTACTGCAATGCTCCTTAAAAAATCAATAAGCCAGTAAACCTTTTACCATACAAAAAATCACCGACTTTTTTTGTTTTAAAACAATATGAAAAATAAATATTTTCAGCTCTAGAAAAAAAGAAAAAGAATTTAAAATTAATTACCCCCTACCTACTAGCAAAATAATACCAAAAAAAACATGAAGATACTTGCATAACTGATTAAACTCGCGCCAAAAACCCATCGAAGTTAAATCCCTACAACCCAGTAAACTAAATCTTGAGCTCTAGAATTTCGATGGGAGCTGCCTAAATGAAAAATAAACTACTTTAACCCACTTTAAACTACCTTAAAATAAGCTAGCACAAGTAATAATTCAACGGTAAAAGAAAAATTTAAAAAAATGTGTCACGGGTACACAATGAAGCAATCTGTAAATTAAAGATCGCAAAGCGATAAGCAAAAAAAAAAGTTGGCTTTTTCTGTGAAGAAAACAGAAAAATCCTCCGCTATACTTCTTAATTTGATTTTAGAAAGAAAAATATGTTTATTAAAAATAATCAAAAGTATCCTTTAAAATTGCTGTAAGCAGCACCAATCTTAGAAAGAAAAACGATGGTCACTCCCCTTATCAAATGAAATCAACATAACTATCACAGATCCTTCAAAGTATACACACATTGAGCGTCCCAAAGAGATGGTTTGACTAGTTGTAAACAACCTTTTAAGAGTAAAAGAGAGATGCCTCACAAACGCACTCAGATAACCTAAACGAACCAGTAGAAGTCCTCAAAGACCACTTGCCTTATTCATTAAATGCGACAGGTTACCTTCTAACCTCAAAAGCCGAAGAAGATATTACCAAAAAAAAATGGAAACATTGTCTAAAAGCAACACCTTCCAATAACAAATATGCTTCAAAAACAGCTGCAACATCTGCAGCCAATGATCAAAGAACATCTAAACAAAAAGTAGTTTAAAGTGTTCAAATGCTGCCGACTTTCAGTGCAGACTACACGTAAGCTCATGTTATATTCGACTCTCTCACCAAAAATACAAAAAATGCAGAAGAACGTTGGCTAAAAGAGGAACCATTAAATAAAAAAGATTTCAGCCTGTACATTTGAAACAAGAAAAAATTAAAGTGAAGAAACAAATTACAGTGGCCAATAGCAAACTGATTGAAAAATACCAAAAATGGTGCGCCCCCCGTAAACATTCCTCAACAGGCCATTTTTTACAAAAATTATGTGAACAGTGTGAAAAGATGAGCGCTCTGTCAATCAACATCATCCATATGCACCCGTGAAAAACATTTATGAGACGTAGCAGTGATAAGGACAAATAACTTTAACTGCTGTAAACTTCGTCCGAAAAACAAGATGCATTTTGTTCCAAACTTCCAAAAACCCTGAAGGAAAAACAAGACCTACACTTGACGAAACAGAATGTCGTAAATTTGCTCAAAACTTGTCCAGCCACTTCTTAAAACCAATCTTATGAGAGCATATGAAGAACATAAAAATCCTATAAAAAATTGAACCTGGAATTTTAACTAGCAGAAATAAAGTTCTCGAAGACAACTGATCCTAAAAACATTAGACTGTAAAAGTGGTATTCTTTCCTAAAAGTAAGCCACACAGATCGCCAGATTTTATTATACAAACAAAAAAACACGACTATATACATATCGCCAATCGATTGTTTGAATCACTAGTCGCCTAAAAATTGATAAAATTAAAATCCTGAAAATTTGCCCTACTGAAAGACCGGCATGGACCCAAGCACCAAATTACCGTCCAAATTCATGTTGGGACGCTTACTTGTCAACAGCCTATCGAGTCACATTGCCTAATTGCCTAAGTAGCTATGATCATACAAGTCCGCAGCTCTATTAAATATTTAAGTAAATACCAAACCTAAATTTTAATGGCTCGACAGCATCAAATCTCAGAAATCTTTGGCAGCACAGCTGAAACAGTCAGGTATGCAGTGCAGCTAATAAAGAAATAGACAATTAGAAAAGATAATTGTCAA